GCTGCCGTTCCTATACCTGACGCAACGAAGGAAATAATATTGTTGTCCCGTCCGTTCTTCGGTCCATTCATCTGTCAATCTGTACGTTCATCCGTCAGTTCGTTTGTCAATCCGTCCGTCATCAGTTGTTGTCGCCTTGGTAGCATCTTTATTTTTGTCGATTCCACTTCACTCATCAAAACCATGGATGAATTCTAATCAGAAAATTCTGAAAATGGTTACTAACTTTTCGGAAAGGAGCTTTGTAAAAATTTCCGATATAAATTTTGTCGTTTGAATAGCGACTTATTTTCAATTTATATCCTCTACAAACTTGTATGAAGGATTCCACTCTTCAAACATCGAAACTTTGGATAAGTTCGATCATAACTGTGTTTTGTAATGACTAAATGAATTATTTCATATATTTTGGTTAATAAAATGTGCTTTCAGTTAATATCATATTCACATAACACGTGTCCCTTTACATTTACAGCATGATTTTTTGTTCCCATGTCTTTTACTGACCACCTGTAGCTATCTATTTTTTTTAAAGTTTCAATATAAATAGAAAGACATCTACATTAGCCACGTGCCCCTAAAAAGTAACAGACTTTATCTGCAACATTTCATATTATGACTTAGTATGTATAGAAATTTTGGACATACGATACGAAGTAAAAATTGCTTAATAGCCTTATCTGTATAATTTCATATTAAAATCATTTCCTATTACAATGACCAATGGTAACATAATTGAAAAAAGTGGTAATGGATTTCTAGTGATGAAATTAGCATTGGTCAACTCCTCCCAAGTGCATTCATCAAAATGGACATCAAAAGGTGTTACAGAAGTTTGCATAAAATGTGCGTCAGATGGCCAAGCGTAACTGTTTATCTCCATTAACGGTCGCAACAAAGAGCAAAATAATTGCATGTCAACTATACACAATGGGGTATTATATGAATATTTATTGTGATGTAAACTGACCAGACGACCGTAAACTTAAAGAGCCCTATACTGCACTGCATTCTACAAGTTGCAAGCCTGTATACCTGGTACATAATAACACCGGTCATTAATGTCATCTTGATTTTTTTTATCATGCGTTCGTATTTCCAAGTGAAAATATACACCAGTTAGTAAAGTATTAAACGAAGAATTTATTAGTTATAGATTACAGAGCACGGATACCCGAGACGTTAAAACGAGGCTTTGCCTACGCTTTTATTGACAGTTAAATGTTCTATATATTGTTATCGTTTCTAAACTGTTTACAATTTATATTCATTACTAAGTTACTCTTGCATTTTCATCGCAAAGGTCTTTGATCAGGTTGGTTTTACGATGGCATTTCACGACCTCACTGTGCAGGTATAACCGTTCGTTGTAAATAATTGTCCAAGCTTCGGAACAAGAGACTACTCAAAATTCTAGATAAAGATCACTTAACGATATAAAAATCAAAATTGCTTTACGATTGTCGCATCTAAATTATTACAATTTTTACTTTTAATTTGCAATAAAAGACTGAAATTTACACGAAAATTATTTTGTTATGGTCTCTCTTTAGCAATATAATGAGCCAAACAACTATTTTTTACGCGAATTCCATTTTAAGAGTTGTTATTGTGAAATAAAGGATGTGTTATAGTCAGACAAAATAATAAAATTGTCATAAATGGTCGCTGACACAGTAACAAACAGCCTTTAAAAAGAATGGTTAAGAAGGCGGTGAAATTTTCTTTAACCATCAATAAAGCATTTTGATAATGTATTAACGTTTATCAATAGTACATCAAGATTTTATGACGAATTAAAAAGCTTCATTTGGATATTATTTCTTTTCAAGCCATATAGTACTTATTCCACTGTAAATAATATCATTGATTCTAATATAATTTTATCAATTACCCTACTGATGAATTATACGTTGACTAACTGAAGGATATAAAAAAGAAAATTTTTCAAGCATTTTATATTTGTTTGGAAATAAAATAAATCATTTGAAGGAAGCTACAGTTTGAAATACAAATATAGACGGTTTGATCAATATACAAAATGAAGATAACCCTGTTCTTTGATTTTAAATAAAATATCCTACCTCTTTATTAAAACAGTGTTTTAAAATATGGCTCTTATTGGAAAAGGTCCGGCAAATGTTAACCTTTTTGGCCTGGTACATGAAATGTAAAACCGTCTATTAGTAAAGTGATGTCGGACAAGCGGGGACAGCCAAACTTCCAAACCAAATATTTGTTTCCACGAAAGTTCACTTAATAAATGAAAATGCTCATTGAATTGAAGGTAAGGTTAAGATAAGTCATCATCAATACACTTGATGGTGAATTTTAAGAATTTTGCCTGGTTTCTTTCCTTCCTGTCGTTTAGAAGGTTTTATATGTAGATTCTGTTTCACATCTGACATGTCACATGCTTACATTGACGAAGTGTGCTTGTAATATTTACAAGGTAAGTCGGGTAAGAATGTTTGTTAGGTGCAGGCTTCATCTTCGGATAAAACCTTGAAACATAAAATCATTGGAAAGAAGATTGTATACAGATATTGTTGACTGTTACGGGCAACTATGATGACGGGCAGCCGCATAGTCATGGATTGCATTGCACAAAATCATGTTTTTCTGAAATTGTTTATGACGTCTTTACATTAAATCAATGCATTGGATGTGTACTGATTGATATTTAAGTCTTAGAAAATTATAATGATTTATTCATTAATATTTAATCGCTTCGAACTACCATTTCAGTAACTGCGAATACTCTGTGCGGCTACTTTGTGTCTTTAGTCTTTTTTTCCCCTTTTTTCGTGCTTTGTGTCGATCTGATGAGTCAATCCTTTTTCAACTGTTTTTTTTACATTTTAATTTAATAATATGATTATCATCACCCTAGACTAGGTGTAGGTTGAGTGTTCCCAGACACACTTTACCCCATCACATACTTGATGTCTGTCCCAAGTAAGGAGCCTGTAATTCAGTGGTAGTCGTTCATATTTGTTTTGTAATAAATCAAGCGGTTTTCTCGTTTGAATCGTTTCACATTTTGCTATGTCGGGACCTTTTACAGCTGACTATACGGTATTGGTTTTACTCATTGTCGACGGTCGTACGGTGAACTATAATTACTTACATAGTTATCTCATTGACAATAACACCACATCTTTTTATTTTTATATTGAAATTAAATGTACTGCAAAGGCAAAAAAAAAATATGCCTCTAGATCTTGTTCTTGTTACTGGTGGACTACTATGAACTATAATAAAAGTAAGGGTTTAGCTTTTCTGAATGATCTTGACTAGAAACATCATACTAAGCTATATAAAGTACATTAGTGAATATTACAGAATTCCCAGAGAAATGCGACAAATTTCATATGCCAATCGGATATTCGTACCCTTCCAAATATTTGTAATCCATCTCCATTTTGTTTTAAAAAAATTATTATTTCAACTTTAATTTTATGAATTGTCAGGTATTGTTTTAATATGCATTTGGTGATTTCACATTATCTGTTTTGTGTTTTTATGCGGTTTAAACTATCTTTCAGTAAAATTCGCTTTGACACTCTTTTTTACAAACAAGTACATTAAATTTGAAATTACCGTATGATAATGATTTCCTATTCATCACATGTATGTTCAAAGCCTATAGTGACTATGGTGAATGCTATTCAAAGGATTTTATAGCTTTCCAAACAGTCTGGATTTTGTTCATTGTTGAAGGTCTTACGGTGAACTGTATAATGTAGTTATTTACATATTCATTCTTTGTTCTTTTCTAGATAGTTATGTTTTTGGCAATAATACCATATGTCCATACTATCCTACAAACATAACCGCAACACTAATGTTTATACCATTGCTTGTTAATGTAATACATCGTTTAAGTGATTTTTACAAGACTTTATTCTTTCAGACTTTAAAAGAATCTACAAAGTTTAATATCATTAATGACTCAAGTAATTTTACCGAGAATTATTATATCAATCATTCCAATAAAAAGAGCAAATGTGAACAATTTATCAGTTTCTTGTTCGATTAGATCATTATATTATCCATCATACTTAATTATTGTAACTGTCAGGTTTTTGCACGAATTTGCACCCATGGTTGCAGACTTAAATGAAAGCCACTAAAAGGACAATAGTTGACATTGAGCGTATATATAGTACTTTTGTCTCCTATTATAATGAATTATTTTAAAGGCGACCTCGCTTAATTATACCTATTTTTGAAAGCATGATATATCTAAGATATGAATTCATGCCTCAAGTGCAGACTTTAACACAATACCCTTAATGCAAGAAATTATTTACTCATTTTTGACAAGCCAAAGTATATCCAGATTTATATTTTACAATTTTGTGTTGCTTGAAATAAGATCAATCAGCTCTTTTAATTATTTGCCACGTGCTACTTTTTTTATTTCTCTCAAAATTTCCCCCTTTCTTTGAATTACCTCATTACTTGAAAAATGATGGATTATTACGATTTAAATTGTACACATAATGATATAATTTTAACCTCCAATTTGTATCCCTGAGATCAATCATTGTAGGGCAACACCATAATTGTATATTTTTTTACAATGAAAATTACCGCATATGCAGTGTACTATGTACTTATACTGCTACTACGCGTGTAAATCGAAATTTTGACTACTCGTGAGTCTTGTCTATGGTAGGAGACCCGCCCGCGCACGTGTCTTCAACTTTGGGCAAGTGCCCATACCTTATGACCAGCCCTACTGAATAGCCTCGAGTCTGAAACAAGTTCTAAATAAACCAAATATATCCTATCAGCAAATTCTCAACAGACAAAAACATGGAGAGACCATGATTAGCACTGCCATGACACATACAACATGTGGACAGGTTTGTTTGTTTTTTAACTGTTTGACATAGAAACATACTTGTACATTTGACCAAAGTACTAATCATGAACGAAACACATAAACATATGGAAAGGATGCTTAATTCTACTGTTTGACAGATACATACCTGCACATTTGACCAAAGTAACAACACTGCCAGGACACATAAGCATGTGGAATGGTTGGTTTAATTTTACTGTTTGACATAGATTTATACTTGCACCTTTTTACCAAAGTAACAACTTTTGACTGTAAACAGTTGATAAAAACTCTGTGAAATAAGCTAAAAGATAGCTAAAAAAGGTAGGTTAGAGTTTTGTTTATAAAATAGTTTACCAAGAAGTTGCGGTCACATCAACTTGGAAACTTAGTAAACACGATGAACTTTTTTTTTATACTATGGTATTATGATTTTGATCCAGCTTTCACTGTTAACTGAACATTGAAATGTGAGAGTGAGAGTGGGGCATGGTGTCCTATGGATACATATTCTCGTTTTTTTTTATGTCTATGTGTTTGTTTTTGTTTTTGTACTTTTTGTTGTCCATTATAGGGTGCCTATAAAGTGCGAAAAGAAATAGAAACGAAACGAAACGAAACGAAACGAAACGAAACGAAACGAAAAGAAACGAAACGAAACGAAATCAAATAACGAAACGACATCAAATTACGGATCACTTCAATTATTTTTTTTTAATCTATTTAAAAACAAAACTTTAAAAAAGATCATAAAATACTTAGACAAATACAATATTGTATTACTAGTGTATGTGCCTTATTGTGGTTTTTCGTGAGGGTGAGGGAACACTGACTGGCCTCTCGGAATTAACGTTCCTGCAGTTGTCATCCTAGCTGTTTAATGGTACACTGGAGCATCCAAGTTTAAAACCGACTAAGGCACGGACCATTTGACTTTTTTAGGGGAGGGGGAGTCTGGTCTTTTCATGTGGACCGGGATTTTTTTTCGAACGCTACGCGGGACAGATTATTGTTTTCATTGTTCAATGTAGAAAATTTATTTGGGATTTTTTTTTTCTATTGGAAAAATGTGGGCAACTTGGATTATTTTTTTTTTTAATCCAAGTGCTGGCTGGACAGATTATTTGTTTTACCTAAATCAGGGCCAGGATATTTTTTCTAAAAAAGACCCCTCCCCCCTTTCCCCAATAAAGTCAAATGGTCCGTGTCTAATCGTGTCTGTCTAGTATAACATATAGAGTTCATAATCAAATATTATATATTGTGTTTAAATTCCTAAACCACAGCTTGTTAACGATTACGCTGAATTTCACAGTTTTTTTCCCAATTTTAAAAGAAATTGTATCAAACTAGACAATACTATTTATAAATATAATCGACTTAATATTCAATTTGACTGATTTAAATTTTATTTCTATTTCGTTTCGTTTCTTTTCTTTTCGTTGGTTCCTATTTCGTTTCGTTTCGTTTTATGTTGATTTCGTTTCGTTTTTGTTTCTTTTCGTTTCGTTTCGTTTCTTTTCGTTTCTATTTCTTTTCGCACTTTATAGGCACCCTCTATTATAAACGATAATTTCTTTTGAAGTGAGAATATTTCTTCTTTAGTTTCCAACAAACGGCATGAGCATTAAAAAATCAGAACCACCACCATTTAGTTTTTCAGTGCTTATCATGGTTGATGGTCATGATTTCAGGTTTAATTAGATTGGACCATCCTAAAACCGTTTTCACCAATATTTGGTCAAATTGTGCTTCGGGGATTCTTCATGTTAGTAATTTTTTTAAACAGTTTTGACTGTGAGTTTAACAGGAAAAAATACATACAATCGTTTCTTTAAACTTTGTCAAAGCTTATGAGTCCGCAAAAGGACGGATGATGCAAAATAATAAGATAGAAGGCATATGATTAAATTTTACTGAACTAAATCTATAAATAAAAGCGATCGCAAATGAATATAACAGCTATATTGTAGCATGGAAAAAGTAAAAACAACAAAATATATAATTCAAAAGATATAAAATCAAAAATAGAAACTTGAAAAAGATTGCTTTGAAACTGTGTAATAAAATACAGCATAAAATTTCAATAAAAGTAATAGCTGTTTACTTACATGCTATTCCAAGTGATAATGCAAGATTGTAGAGCACGTTTTGAAAATTTCATATGCACTTGATGTCTAGGCCGATAAATTTCCTTCATAATGAGTGAAAGTTTTGAAGTTTGGGAGTCTGTCTAATATTATCGCTATATCATAGTTTTATGGATTTCGTGGTATTATGTGCCTAAAAATTCTGTCGTCTACTGACGTTGTACAAAAAAAGAGAAATACCTTCTGTAAACTGCAAAGATATAAAATGAAGTTGATAGAATCATCAAAAGAATAAATCAAAACCATAATTATAATGTCCAATGATTGCAAAAATAAAAAAAAAAACAAAAAAACTACAGTTCACAGAAAACTACAAAATATTTACTGCAATAACTGTTCCTTCCTATATTTCAGTTTCAAAAGGGAATCTCTATTATGCAAAACAAATATGACCAAAAGAGATGATTTTTCGTTCCCTATTGTTAATTTTCCTTTTTTTGGGGGTGCTGATGGTCCTTTTGGCCTCATCTTACGGTGTATATGGTATTCAGGGCCAATTCGTTTACTATGCCCGTGTTTGTAGTGACGTTATAGATTTCAATGAAAGAAAGAAATCTATTATTTGATAATATCAAGTCAGTGATTTCGTTATCACAAATTACTCAAAATCTTTACTAAATTCACCCATAGTGAAAAAAAATGATTTGGAAGTTTTGTCGAAAAACTGTAGAAAACTTATTGCAAACGGGATATCACATCCTAATTTTGACGACGATTTTGTATACAGAGCCTGTAAATTTATATACGATCCGTGTAAATTTATCAATCCTTTTATGACCGAGAGCCCGGATCTACAAGAAGCATCCATTATGTTGCTTATTGCAATTAATAGCTGGTAATCGAGGATACATTAAACTGTATTGGTTCCTGTCTATGACTTAAATGAAAAGTAGATACCAAGATGGCAATCGAGGATACATTAAACTGTATTGGTTCCTGTCTAGGTGGCAATCGAGGATACATTAAACTGTATTGGTTCCTGTCTATGACTTAAATGAAAAGTAGATACCAAGGTGGCAATCGAGGATACATTAAACTGTATTGGTTCCTGTCTATGACTAAAATGGAAAGTAGATACCAAGGTGGCAATCGAGGATACATTAAACTGTATTGGTTCTTGTCTATGACTAAAATGAAAAGTAGATACCAAGGTGGCAATCGAGGATACATTAAACTGTATTGGTTCCTGTCTATGACTTAAATAGAAAGTAGATACCAAGGTGGCAATCGAGGATACATTAAACTGTATTGGTTCCTGTCTATGACTAGAATGAAAAGTAGATACCAAGGTGGCAATCGAGGATACATTAAACTGTATTGGTTCCTGTCTATGACTTAAATAGAAAGTAGATACAAAGGTGGCAATCGAGGAAACATTAAACTGTATTGGTTCCTGTCTATGACTAAAATGGAAAGTAGATACCAAGGTGGCAATCGAGGATACATTAAACTGTATTGGTTCCTGTCTATGACTTAAATGAAAAGTAGATACCAAGGTGGCAATCGAGGATACATTAAACTGTATTGGTTCCTGTCTATGACTAAAATGGAAAGTAGATACCAAGGTGGCAATCGAGGATACATTAAACTGTATTGGTTCCTGTCTATGACTTAAATGAAAAGTAGATACCAAGGTGGCAATCGAGGATACATTAAACTGTATTGGTTCCTGTCTATGACTTAAATAGAAAGTAGATACCAAGGTGGCAATCGAGGATAGATTAAACTGTATTGGTTCCTGTCTATGACTTAAATGAAAAGTAGATACCAAGGTGGCAATCGAGGATACATTAATCTGTATTGGTTCCTGTCTATGACTTAAATGAAAAGTAGATACCAAGGTGGCAATCGAGGATACATTAAACTGTATTGGTTCCTGTCTATGACTTAAATGAAAAGTAGATACCAAGGTGGCAATCGAGTATATATTAAACTGTATTGGTTCCTGTCTATGACTTAAATGAAAAGTAGATACCAAGGTGGCAATCGAGGATACATTAAACTGTATCGGTTCCTGTCTATGACTTAAATGAAAAGTAGATACCAAGGTGGCAATCGAGGATACATTAAACTGTATTGGTTCCTGTCTATGACTTAAATGAAAAGTAGATACCAAGATGACAATCGAGGATACATTAAACTGTATTGGTTCCTGTCTATGACTTAAATGAAAAGTAGATATCAAGGTGGCAATCGAGGATACATTAAACTGTATTGGTTCCTGTCTATGACTTAAATGAAAAGTAGATACCAAGGTGGCAATCGAGGATACATTAAACTGTATTGGTTCCTGTCTATGACTTAAATGAAAAGTAGATACCAAGGTGGCAATCGAGGATACATTAAACTGTATTGGTTCCTGTCTATGACTAAAATGGAAAGTAGATACCAAGGTGGCAATCGAGGATACATTAAACTGTATTGGTTCCTGTCTATGACTAAAATGGAAAGTAGATACCAAGGTGGCAATCGAGGATACATTAAACTGTATTGGTTCCTATCTATGACTTAAATGAAAAGTAGATACCGAGGTGGCAATCGAGGATACATTAAACTGAATTGGTTCCTATCTATGACTTAAATGAAAAAAAGATACCGAGGTGGCAATCGAGGATACATTAAACTGTATTGGTTCCTGTCTATGACTTAAATAGAAAGTAGATACCAAGGTGGCAATCGAGGATACATTAAACTGTATTGGTTCCTGTCTATGACTAAAATGAAAAGTAGATACCAAGGTGGCAATCGAGGATACATTAAACTGTATTGGTTCCTGTCTATGACTTAAATGAAAAGTAGATACCAAGGTGGCAATCGAGGATACATTAAACTGTATTGGTTCCTGTCTATGACTTAAATAGAAAGTAGATACCAAGGTGGCAATCGAGGATACATTAAACTATATTGGTTCCTGTCTATGACTTAAATGAAAAGTAGATACCAAGGTGGCAATCGAGGATACATTAAACTGTATTGGTTCCTGTCTATGACTAAAATGGAAAGTAGATACCAAGGTGGCAATCGAGGATACATTAAACTGTATTGGTTCCTGTCTATGACTTAAATGAAAAGTAGATACCAAGGTGGCAATCGAGGATACATTAAACTGTATTGGTTCCTGTCTTTGACTTAAATGAAAAGTAGATACCAAGGTGGCAATCGAGGATACATTAAACTGTATTGGTTCCTATCTATGACTAAAATGAAAAGTAGATACCAAGGTGGCAATCGAGGATACATTAAACTGTATTGGTTCCTGTCTATGACTTAAATAGAAAGTAGATACCAAGGTGGCAATCGAGGATACATTAAACTATATTGGTTCCTGTCTATGACTTAAATGAAAAGTAGATACCAAGGTGGCAATCGAGGATACATTAAACTGTATTGGTTCCTGTCTATGACTAAAATGGAAAGTAGATACCAAGGTGGCAATCGAGGATACATTAAACTGTATTGGTTCCTGTCTATGACTTAAATGAAAAGTAGATACCAAGGTGGCAATCGAGGATACATTAAACTGTATTGGTTCCTGTCTATGACTTGAATGAAAAGTAGATACCAAGGTGGCAATCGAGGATACATTAAACTGTATTGGTTCCTGTCTATGACTTAAATGAAAAGTAGATACCAAGGTGGCAATCGAGGATACATTAAACTGTATTGGTTCCTGTCTATGACTTAAATGGAAAGTAGATACCAAGGTGGCAATCGAGGATACATTAAACTGTATTGGTTCCTGTCTATGACTTAAATAGAAAGTAGATACCAAGGTGGCAATCGAGGATACATTAAACTGTATTGGTTCCTGTCTATGACTAAAATGGAAAGAAGATACCAAGGTAGCAATCGCAATTATAAAGTCTAAATTGAGGAAAAAAACAGACAACTTTTAGTCTTAGATACATGATTTTTTTTATTAGTTGTTATTGGTTTTGAATTAGCTGCCAGTAACTTCGAGTACTCTCAGACCTGTTCTTAGTGTCTTTTTGTTGTGTGGGATGTATAAGTACCCGTCCGCGTCCACTCTGTGTTTTTGTTAGATGTATTTCTATTTGTATCCATCTGATGAGTTAAGCCTTTTTCAAATGATTTTATAGTTTGTTCTCATGTTTTACTGTTACACCACTGTCCCTGATTAGGGGAGAGTTGAGCGCTCACAAACATGTTTAACCCCGCCACATTCTTTATGTGCCTGTCCCAAGTCTGGATCCTGTAGTTCAGTGGTTGTTGTTGGTTCATGTCTGTCATATTTGTTTTTCGTAAATTGTTTTGTTATAAATTAGGCTGTTAGTTTTCTCAATTGAATCGTTTCATTTTTTTCATGTCGGGGCGTTTTATAGCCGACCATGCGGTATGAGTTTTTCTCATTGTTGAAGGCCGTACGGTTGTCTGTTATTGCTTACATCCACTTCATTTGAACTTTGGTGGATAGTTGTCTCATTGGCAATCATACCACATCTCCTTATTTTCATAACACAATGACGAACAGATACACGACGAAACAGTCAATAAAACACTACACAAAATCTAAAGATTAGGTTACTCGAACCCCATCAAAAACTAGTGTGAAATCAGGTGCTCCGGTAGAGAAAGCAGATCTTACTTCACTAGTGGTATCTGTTGTGTTTCTCGTGGCCAGTGAACGGGGGAGTTAAGACACATTAGGTGATATACATTTTATATAACCCATATATAGGCACTGATGTGATGTTGCTACACAAACACGGAAAGTTAACAAAAAGAAATGAAAATTAACTCTTTTGTTGTGAAGTTAAGTTCTCAATCAGCCCTTTTGGGCAATCGTAGATGCAAGTCAAAATATGAAGCAGGTCTTGCTATATCTGTCACAGTGATAGCTTCAGGGAATTTAAATTTAAGTTACAGTGTTTTTTCTACAATGATTGTCCCTTCCTACAACACGATATATATATCTACGTTTGCCATTTTCTTTTAATAAAACAAAGTTGAAATGCCACTTATGATTTGATTTACTTTATACATTGACGGCGGAGTACGAATATAAATAATGCAAAAGACATATTGAAAATTGTAATGTTATTTTATGTGTTTACCGCAACAACAATATGACATGAGAGAGCAGGAAAAGGTAAAAGAACTCACCACATTTACAGTGTTGAATTAAAAAGACCTTATATTAAATTACAAACAAATAAGTCTACCCAAAACGTTGATTTTGTAGGTGTAAAAAAGACCTCGTTTTTTATTTATTTATTTGTTGTTTTTTTTTATTATAATTTATTGGTTCAAAGAGCAGTTTTTTATATGTAATATGAAGGAACATTCCAGCAGCGCTTGCATATGCAGTATATATCTCTCAGTTGATGCGAGATTCCAGAGCTTGCATTTTCTATCAAGATTTCCTTGTCATAGGGTTGCTGCTTACAATGAAGCTTTTAAACCAATAGTTCCAAGTGGTGAAGTTGAAATCATCCCTTCAAAAATTTACGGACGCCACCATGAGTAGATTGACCGTTAACTTATGGGATATCGATTTCACAGATGACGACGGATGTGTCCCAATTACTGCCGTTACCACAATCCATCCTCTTTTCCTCGTGACATACTGAATTAGACTTATCACCGGGTTTGTACGTATATGTGCAATACGACGGGTACCACAAGTGGAGCATGATCTAATCACCCTTCCGGAGCTCCTGCGATCGCCTCTGTTTTTGGTTGGGTTCGTGCTGTTCAGTCGTTAGTTTTCTACGTTGTGTTTTGCATATACTGTTGTTTGTCTTTTGGTCGTTTTTCGTTTTTTGCCATGGCACTGTCAGTTCATTTTCAACTCATGAGTTTGATTTTTCCTTTAGTACCTTTCGCTTCTCTTTTATAATACACGAACTACTTTTTTTATCCATATTAAACAGCAGACATTTTGATCAATTAATTTCCGGATATGAATATTTTTAGCGGTACCAAAAGAAGTTGGAATGCACAAATCCAGATTGGAATACTTTCAAGAAGAATTTGGTGTGAATTTATTTGAAGAAAGGCTAAACGGTTCATATGTTTTAACAAATTAGTTTTACAGAAAGCAATGAAAGAAAATTTAAGTCATACTATGTCGATTTTTGCACTACACCAATTCACTTTTTGCACTACACCAATTTACTTTTTGCACTACACCAATTCACTTTTTGCACTACACCAATTTACTTTTTGCACTACACCAATTCACTTTTTGCATTACATTTATCCACTTTGATGTACACTATGTTTGTCGAAATCTTACCTTGTTTCATCACGACAGTACGTCCTGAATATTTCAACGTTTCCCAGAGTACCATTAGATATTCTTGGTGTCGATTATAAAATATTGAAACTTAGTTTACTTTTCTATAACAATACCATTTCTTTTCAAATTACAAAGGATAATAATAAGGATACAAATTAACCTCTTTTTGGTTACTGTTAGAGATATTGGCGATGACAAAGTCAAAAGTCCTAATAACAATCAATGAGATTTTACTTTTATTGTTCTCAGTGAAGTTCATTTACTTGACCAATTAGTAATGTATAACAGGCCAATTATAAAACGTTTTTTACTTGTTTTGATCGTATACAGTGCTGTTAGAAGATAATATGTTGATCCAAGAAGATATATATGTTGTATCTGCTTCTCACGATAGTGTTGTATATATCAATCGAACTTACGATTTTAGATTTTTAGTCTAAAAACGATTAGCTGAAAATATTAATAGAACAAAAATAAAAATAAAAAGGTAACTTTTCAAGTGCCCCCAAATGGAAGAATTTACGAAGATTACGAAGAAGAAGACTATTACTGATTTTGATTCGGACCATAATAAATTCAATGGGATTGTCTTTTGTATGAAAACTTTCAAATATAGAATTATCTTTGTCTATTTATCATGCAATGTTCAGTGATATGCTTTGATAGCATGACACACCATTGTATTGCAAAAAAATACATACTAGTTATTATTATACTTAACAGTTGAATGATATAGCCACTCGGTATATAGTGCATGATTCTTAACTGGGTACTTTCTTCGAAATTACTGTTACATTGATACCAGTAAATATAATTCGACTTCGCTTCAAAGTTATATTTACCTGTGATTCTAATTAACATTGTAAAAAAATCAAAGGGAAAAACTATGTTCAAAGGAAAGTAGAAAACAAATACCTCTGCTCATTAGAACAAATGAATGTTTACCAACTTATTAATAAAATTACAGATTGTTAGAATAAAATTACCACTCAAAAGTTAATGATTCGATTGCATTTTCGCTCCCGAACTGTCTTGCCTATTAAATTGATAATTATTTTCCTCATCAACTACATGATATAGAGGACATTTGAATAGATAAGCACTTGTCGTTTTCTTTAATGGTCTGCAGGTTTGTATTATTGCTACAGCACTTTTGTCGCCTATCATAACGAAAGTGAAGCATTATGGAAAAACATAAAGATGTTCGACTTAACTATATCTCATTTCTTCACAATTATCATTGCTTGTTCAATATAAAATGATGTTACGCATTACATTTTATTATGTTGTATTTGAGATCAACGACACACCTTCCAAGAGTATAATACATATTACATAATTGTTCTTTCTTTTATTCGTTTTGAAGAATCATGCCGTATTTTTATTTTCTTTGATCTTTTGTAATTTAGACATCATGACTTCCCATCATCGCGAAAACAGACAAAGAAAACTTGACTTTAAGCACCAAAACTCATAAATTAATGTATGTTTATTACCTGTGTACTTCTGTTGACGTTCTAGGTTCCTCTGGGAAAATAATTCATATCGTTATTGCTCCTCTTCTTTAATCTAAAAATGCATAATAGCATTACAAAAAAGTGAAATAAAAAGTCCATTGCATGCTAAACTTATTTACACACAACAATAAAAGATAACAAGTAGTACCCGAATAACTAGGAAAATTAAAGATGTAAACATAAATCCTGCACGTGCAGCAAGAAGATTACATGCAAGAAATATTTCGGGAAAACAAAAACTTTAAGGTAGAAGTCCAGTTATCTATCATATATGTGCATTACAGATTCATACGAATCGTGCTTTTCCTTTCTCCGCAAGGAATGTCTGGAGTGTAGCAATAAGCATCCTTGGACTTCTCCTGCCCGGCAGTTAAACCCGTGCTAAACTTCGGTGTCCGCTTGTCTGTGCAGGATGTTAAAATACGCAGCAACATTCAATCGGAATGGCGACCTTAAATTCGATGTACTATGTATGGTGATTGCCACACTCTGTGCACGTTAAAGAACTTCTGCATGTGACAACTCTCTTTTGGGTCAGCAGCTGGCCTGTTGCAAGAAAAGATTCTGTCCCTATCTAGTTCAAAGTTTCTCTTGAATTCCAATACAGCATAATTGCCTTAGAGGACACGAAAGTATACAAAAGTATTTTGGATGTTCTTTGTCGATTCAATATGAAAACATTACTTACAAACTATCAGGTATATTTTTTACTAATTTTCAAATATAAATGATCTTTCAACAGAATTTCGTAAGAGGGAAAGCTTTGAGCTCATCTTTTCCATTCATAATAAAAGTTATTTTACGAAAGTGCACATGGCAATTTTATAATGAAACAATAACGGCCTTTTCAATTCAGCTGCAATTCAATAAACGGGAAATTATCGAAAGCAAAAACACCAAAGTATTGATCATACTTTAATGAAAAATACTAGTTTTACTTGAACATGCCAAAGAATACGCTTTAGTAGCAAACTATATGAATGAGAGAGACGGTTTACGCCAATGATGCAACAATCCATGACAATAGAAAAAAAACAACAACATACATTTGAAAGTCAACACAAGGGTTTCGACAATTGCAATGAGACTATACAAAATGTTAAACTCTATGTCGTCAAGAGTCTAATGAAAAGGTTCTTAACTGCAGAAATACACATGAGCATGTGGCGGAATTAAACTATTATTTTAATTATTTCAAAGTGGGTGTAAAATGTCATGTACAATTTTTACTTGTTAAATATGCAAGTCATAGGGTATTGCTATTTAACTTCTTTTTTGAATGATATCCTGATTTTGCGTCATGGATGGATACCCCATATCCTTTCTTTTCTATTATAATATCTTCTTATTTTTTAATCTTTTGTATTCATCAGAATATTTCTAAATGCTCAGTTAAAGCTGAAAAATGAAACTGGTAAACAAAAAGTAATAAAAAAATGAAAGAAAACAAAATTGTAGAAAAACAGACAGAGCTTACTATGCGGTATGGGTTTTTGCTCATTGTTGAAGGCCGTATGTTGACCTATAGTTGTTAACCTCTACGTCATTTGGTCTTTGGTGGAGAGTTGTCTCATTGGCAATCATACCATATCTTCTTATTTTTATAGAAGGTCGAACTTATACAAAACTTTGTATCATAATTCGTCCAAACCAACCGAACCTTTAGTATACAAATGTCAATTTTCCATATACTGATGTAAGTCATAGGCTTTTTTGTAACTTCTAAAGATGGTTATTTAATGTCTTGGTTTATTCCCTGGTTTTAGTGATATAGTTTACTGTGTTATATTTTGTTTCAGTTGTAGATAGTTTCGTCATATTCTTTTGGTTATAGCATTGCCTGTTTCGTGGAATAGAAATCAAGGTAAAGGGGTGTATATATAAATACATGACACAAACTCCACGTATTTAACAAAAACCAAAACTAAAGAACAGCGCTTTTATTGTTGTTCTTCATCTCTAAGCCACATACAATGAGGTCATCATCATCGAGCAAAAGCTCACACTTTCTGCAAGATTAAGATGCTTCTAGCACCAGTTTGAACGGATTTATTTCCTAGATGTCCATCCCGCTAAATCTATACATTGAAGTACACCGATGATGGTAAATATTAATGAAAAAATAAATTGCAATAACATTAATATGGTTTAAATTGGTCCTTTGGTATCTTTTAATTGTTTAACAATACATAAGAATTTTTAAGGTGTACACCACACTTTAAGTAACACAGTGGTCTGCATATCTTCCTTGTGGATTTAATGGTGAAAGTCTGCTATATAGTTTGGCTTCGTGTCTCTTCCAAAGCCCTTAAACCGACCAAGTGACAGACTGGAGCCCTTAAACCGACCAAGTGACAGACTGGTATTAAAAACTTCACTAGTGTATCCTTTAGGTTCTTTGACCTCCTGGAAGCAAAGACAGGAGGCTATGGAAATATTTGAAAGTTGGATATGCTTTCGGTGGCCCTGAAATGACTGTGGATTCATTGTGTCAAGTTATTAGAAATAAAAGTGGAATGGTAGGACAAAAAAAAACTCCCTTGGTTTTTTAAAATTTTTCTTTGCATTGGAGAAATTGTGACCAGTTTGATTTCGTTAGTTTGTATGAGGGCACACGTATTTGGTGTTGATCAGTTGTTATACTACAAACGTCAATAAAGATGACTGCATCTTTGGTTTCAATAGTCAAATCCAAATTAGAGATTATCATGAGTACATTTGATGATATATGGATGTTTATAGCATGTTCGGAGAAATCATAAAGGCTATTATCAATTTCGTTCCAATTTATGTTAATATCATAAATGAATCGGAACCAGGTTAATGGAGAATAATTGTGTGCGTAATTTGGGACAAGTTTTATTCTCATGGCCATTTCATTGACTTGAAGAAAAAGTTACACAGTAAATGTAAAGCTGTTATTGCATTTGAAGCTGGAAACATTGCACACACTGTATCTTCACGATACGAAAAACCCAAAACATCAGCGCACCACAATAGACAAATAATACCTAAATCGAACAACATGCACCACATCGTACTGGTATGAAATATATTCGGACTAAATCACAGCAAAAAAAGCCCAAATCAGTAACACAGGAAAGTCGTGACACGTAAAAAAGTACTTCGCTTAATTTTTTAAACATAGTAACATCTTACTCTATTGGACAAAGCGAGTATTCAAAGTTAACTCAATGTATCAATTTAGTCACACGGCAGCTTTTTTTTTCGTAAATCCCTAAAACAGTGTATGTCTCTAGTAATATCTTCTTTTTGTTCTTTTACAAACTTGTAGTTTTTTGTTCTTTTACAAACTTGTAGTTATTGTCAGATCTTTGTTTTCTCTTTCTGTAAATTCTAATCATAAGTTGTCTCGACTTGGGCGAATTTAGCACATCATGGTAAGGACACTTATATATACCTTGAGAAGGTATGTTAACATTCTGCTAGTCATTTAGACGTATACCCTTCATTTCCTTAATTCAAACTGTATAACATACTGTCAAATATCTGTTCGAGCTTGCAGGCGAAAAAAATATGAGGACTGAATTCTTTGTTCCCAAAGGACAATGATTTTCGTTAAATTTGGAATGAATGTCAGTTATAACTTTTCTGGTGTTTAATCATATGGTATCTATTTTATCAAGAATACCTTTCTTCATCCCATCAATCAATACACAAATTAACACAATAAAAACTGTTCTAAAGATGGCGATGTTTTTCAATGAATGAAATGAGTTATAAATTGTTTACTATGTTATCCTGCGCATAACTGAGCAAAGAGTTTAATACCATAGAGGCCATATACACATTGTAGGAATCATGCTTTTCAGATAACAGTCATCAGGCGGCCTACTGCAGAGTTGAATAAAATTAAATTTTTTCCAAGTTTTTGACGTTTCTGTGATTATGTTTTGTGTGCTGTAAATCATTTTATAGATTAAAAAATTACCATTTTGTATTTATTCACGGCTATCATATATCAAAGAGTGAATAACGATACCACGTCGAGAACAGCTTTGGTGAGAAAAAGATAAACTATATATCATATTTTGTAGTAATAAAACATACGTCGGTATAAGTGTTAAGAGCCATGAAGGAATTCTGATTGGATGAAATGATAGAAGTAAAGGATTTTTCAAATAGGTATTTTTGTTTTAAAGCCATAACGTGTTGTAACACTCTATCAAGTTAATCTTGTTTTCTCAAGAGCTAATATAAAGCTCATATGAAAAACGGGAAGCACTGATTGAACTAAAAGATGTAATTTTTAAGTTGATGAATGCACATGTGTTTGCGATATAAGTATTATTTATATTCATATTAATAAACATAAATTACAAGCAGAATATACATTTAATAACTGTTTCAACAATAAAGTGCCATAATATCAAAATGAAGTGGATGAAATAATAGCTTTTCTTTCACATATTGCGATGGCCTTAACAACCTTCATCATTTTACATACCTTCTGAAATTTTTATCATTTATTTTGTGAGATATATGAAATAATTACAAAAATATTTACAATAAATATGTCACATCAGGGCATTTATTGTCTTTTATATTGAATAAACTTTGGTTATGATGATGACATGAAAATTGAAACTACAAAATGAAAACAGAATTCGTATGTTAATTTATTAAAGCTAAAATATAGTATAAAAAACATATTAAGCACAATAAAAAGTAGCAAAGTGCAATTTAAGTAAGTATGATATATAATTTAAAAGGGGTATTTGTTACCATATAAGTTTCGTGTCAAAGTGCCAGTTAATGGGCTTTTAAAACATTCAAGCAAACATGTTAAATTGCCTCAACACAAAAATGCATTTAGTTTTTTGTTCTGACAGTTGAAATTTCAATTCTTGAATTTGAATTTTCCGGTGATCGCTTACACGTCAATTTTTAGCCATCAACCAAATTAATTAATCATTCAGTCTTAGAAAATTTATTCATCTAAATTAAACAGCGTTAAATGTATATCATCTAAAACATCAGCTCTATTTTCAGGACATGTACACGGCCAATTATTATCAACATTGAAATATA